GAAGATGCTAAGAGACGTGCTAACTTGAAAATGTGCACAGAACCCCATTCCGACCCACATTTTTTGCTTCAGCACGGAAGATGCTAAGAGACGTGCTAACTTGAAAATGTGCACAGAACCCCATTCCGACACACATTTTTGCTTCAGCACGGAAGATGCTAAGAGACGTGCTAACTTGAAAATGTGCACAGAACCCCATTTCGACACACCTTTTTGCTTAAGCACGGAAGATGCTAAGAGACGTGCTCAACTTGAAAAATGTGCACAGAACCCCATTCCGGACCCACACCTTTTTGCTTAAGCACGGAAGATGCTAAGAGACGGCTAACTTGAAAATGTGCACAGAACCCCATTCCGACACACATTTTTGCTTAAGCACGGAAGATGCCAAGAGACGTGCTAACTTGAAAATGTGCACAGAACCCCATTCCGACAACAATTTTTGCTTAAGCACGGAAGATGCTAAGAGACGTGCTAACTTGAAAATGTGCACAGAACCCCATTCCGACACACATTTTTGCTTAAGCACGGAAGATGCTAAGAGACGTGCTAACTTGAAAATGTGCACAGAACCCCATTCCGACACACATTTTTGCTTAGATTGCTAAGAGACGTGCTAACTTGAAAATGTGCACAGAACCCCATTCCGACACACATTTTTGCTTCAGCACGGAAGATGCTAAGAGACGTGCTAACTTGAAAATGTGCACAAAACCCCATTCCGACACACATTTTTGCTTCAGCAACGGAAGATGCTAAGAGACGTGCTAACTTGAAAATGTGCACAGAACCCCATTCCGACACACATTTTTGCTTCAGCACGGAAGATGCTGAGAGACGTTGCAAACTTGAAAATGGTGCAAGAACCCATTCCGACACACAATTTTTTGCTTCGCAGGAAGATGGGCTAAGAGACGTGCTAACTTGAAAATGTGCACCGAACCCAATCCGACACAACATTTTTGCTTCAGCACGGAAGCTAAGAGACGTGCTTTAATGCAATGTGCACAGAAACCCCATTCCGACACCACATGTTCGCATCCGCACGGAGATGCAAGAGACGTGCTAACTTGAAAATGTGCACAGAACCCCATTCCGAAACACATTCTTGCTTAAGCACGGAAGATGCTAAGAGACGTGCTAACTTGAAAATGTGCACAGAACCCCATTCCGACACACATTTTTGCTTCAGCACGGAAGATGCTAAGAGACGTGCTAACTTGAAAATGTGCACAAGACCCCATTCCGACACAATTTTGCTCAGCACGGAAGATGCTAGAGAGTGTAAATGCCAACCTGTGAAACAGAACCCCATTCCGACCAATTTTTGCTTTCAGAAGCGAAGATGCTAAGGAGGACGGGCCTACTGGAAAATGTGCACGAACAACATTCCGACACACATTTTTGCTCCAGCACGGAAGATGCTAAGAGACGTGCTAACTTAAAAATGTGCACAGAACCCCATTCCGACACACATTTTTGCTTCAGCACGGAAGACGCTAAGAGACGTGCTAACTTGAAAATGTGCACAGAACCCCATTCCGACACACATTTTTGCTTCAGCACGGAAGATGCTAAGAGACGTGCTAACTTGAAAATGTGCACAGAACCCCATTCCGACACACATTTTTGCTTCAGCACGGAAGATGCTAAGAGACGTGCTAACTTGAAAATGTGCACAGAACCCCATTCCGACACACATTTTGCTTCAGCACGGAAGATGCTAAGAGACGTGCTAACTTGAAAATGTGCACAGAACCCCATTCCGACACACATTTTTGCTTCAGCACGGAAGATGCTAAGAGACGTGCTAACTTGAAAATGTGCACAGAACCCCATTCCGACACACATTTTTGCTTCAGCACGGAAGATGCTAAGAGACGTGCTAACTTGAAAATGTGCACAGAACCCCATTCCGACACACATTTTTGCTTCAGCACAGGACAGATGCTAAGAGACGTGCTAACTTGAAAATGTGCACAGAACCCCATTCCGACACACATTTTTGCTTCAGCACGGAAGATGCTAAGAGACGTGCTAACTTGAAAATGTGCACAGAACCCCATTCCGACACACATTTTTGCTTCAGCACGGAAGATGCTAAGAGACGTGCTAACTTGAAATGTGCACAGAACCCCATTCCGACACACATTTTTGCTTCAGCACGGAAGATGCTAAGAGACGTGCTAACTTGAAAATGTGCACAGAACCCCATTCCGACACACATTTTTGCTTAAGCACGGAAGATGCTAAGAGACGTGCTAACTTGAAAATGTGCACAGAACCCCATTCCGACACACATTTTTGCTTAAGCACGGAAGATGCTAAGAGACGTGCTAACTTGAAAATGTGCACAGAACCCCATTCCGACACACATTTTTGCTTCAGCACGGAAGATGCTAAGAGACGTGCTAACTTGAAAATGTGCACAGAACCCCATTCCTTAGACGTTGCCTCTAACAGTAACTCTTTATAGGGTTCTGGTGGAGGATTGAACACTTATTTTTGGGGAGGATTAGACACTTATTTGGGAGGGATTGAACACTTATTTTTGGGAGGATTAGACACTTATTTGGGAGGGATTGAACACTTATTTTTGGGAGGATTAGACACTTATTTGGGAGGGATTGAACACTTATTTTTGGGAGGATTAGACACTTATTTGGGAGGGATTGAACACTTATTTTTGGGAGGATTAGACACTTATTTGGGAGGGATTGAACACTTATTTTTGGGAGGATTAGACACTTATTTGGGAGGGATTGAACACTTATTTTTGGGAGGATTAGACACTTATTTGGGAGGGATTGAACACTTATTTTTGGGAGGATTAGACACTTATTTGGGAGGGATTGAACACTTATTTTTGGGAGGATTAGACACTTATTTTGGAGGGATTGAACACTTATTTTTGGGAGGATTAGACACTTATTTTGGAGGGATTGAACACTTATTTTTGGGAGGATTAGACACTTATTTCGGAGGGATTGAACACTTAGTTTAACTTATTTTGGGGAGGATTTAATACTTAGTTCGGAGATGTCCAGCACCTAATTCGGGAAAGGGCGGACCACCGATTCTGCCGATCTACAGACTCAGACTCTAACTGCAAATGACGTTGACATGAAGTGTAACTCTCGCCCCTCGTAACAGTACAACTAAGCGGACTAAGCGGGTTCAGGATTTAGTTGATTGGGGCTGAACTAGCAGCGAGACCAGATTTAGTCTAGTCGCTATGCACCCAAACCCAAGCCGACGGGCAACATGAGAAGAGGATGCCAATCATGCCTGGTCTGCTTGAAGGCTTCATTCTTAATTCTGATCTTACTGTTGTATATTATGTTCGTTTGTGTTTGTAGCGGAAGACTAGCATCATGTGGTTGATATTAATGGGGTAAGGTGTCGGCTTCGGCGGCTTAGGGTTTGAGGCTTACAACTCAAAAACCTAGTATAAAGATGGAATCTATTTGGCATGACTACGAGTCAAGCACACAGGTGTTGCGAACCCCATTCTTTCCATCACAGCTCGTGTTCCGACGATCAATGTCGCCGAGGTTTTTTGAAAGCCGGCCCCAGCCGGCACACAAGCGGATGGCATGCAGCATCATTGCCATTGCAACATCAAGCAGCTCTAAAGCCTTGATTTAGCATCCCGGGAGTCTATGAGTGATGAGCTAAGTGCTAACCCAAACTATCCCCATTGCTGAATGGCAACTGCAAGCCTAGCGCTCAAGATCATGATCAGAACCATGTGTTTTCATGGCCCGTAAAAGGCTCACTTGGCCACTGGCTTCCCCGTGAGAACTGCTGAGCAACGACTGGCGAGATGCGCATGGATCTTCCACCCACGTCTGCGAACTCCTGTACTTGCCTTGTTCACAAGACCTTGACGAGTTTCCCCCGTCTTGAGAGGCCTCAGCAAAGCTTGAGCCACCGTCGCATCACCCACTAATGAAGCCATAATCGGAACGGTAACCCCACCCTCTGTGCACGGTGGGCCATTCAAGAAAACTTTGATCTTCTGAATTAGCACATTCGCACTTTCGAAAACCTCCTGCAAGGCTTGGTCATTTGCGAATTCGCATCGGCCAGCTGCTGCAGAGACTGCCACGATCGTCTTGAGCATATCCTGCATATGGTCGCAACCAAAAGCCACGAAGCTGTAGCAGCACTGCATGCTTTTGTCGTTGCACACCTTGTTGCTCAAATCGGAATCAATCTTGTTGTTCTCCACAGCTTGCTGGAAGTCCTTCCGCTGAACAATGCCATCGAAGGTCTTCTCGAGAAATGTCACCATGGTCTGAAAGTCATTCGAAGCCTGCTCAACGAGCCTACCAAGCAACTTAGGGATCTGAGCCGAGCATCGTGAAACGAACAGTCCGGCTTTCTCGTCCTTGGTGGAGTCCACGGCCTTCGATGCTGCAATGGAGCACAGCATAAGCTTGCCAGGCTCCTGCTCCCGGCCAGCCAAACACTTCATCAAGGAACCTTCGAACATCTTCGAGGGGTCCGGCCCTTGCGACTCGAAGACCTCATCCCAGAGCTTGATAAAGAAAGTACGGAACGACTAACACACCCAATAACAATCGTAGCATAAATCCGGTAGCCTATGCCTATGCCTATACTAGCCTATACTATGACTACAACTACTATAACTAGAACTTATAATTTTATAATGTATATTTATAATTTATAATTTATAACTTATAGTTTACAATTTATAATGTATAATGTATAATCTGCTGTATAATTGTAATTGTATAATTTATAATTTATAATTGGCTCATTGAGATATCGGCCTTGTAGGAAGCTTGCATTCCACCCTGGGTCTTCAACCATCCAGTCATGTGCACGATCATCTTCGCCATCGGCAGCAAGGCGCCGGCGGCACACAAGGCTGCACTGCTGACATCAATCGTGGTCGGCCCGTCCTCGCCCTCGGTGGTCGTGATGTCGATCTTCAATGGTGACCAGCCCTGCCCGATGTGTGCACCATACAGCTCGAACACTGCGGTAAAGTCAATCATGTTGTCGGAGTCGTCCTCATGAAACTCGCCGACGATGTCTGCAAAGTTATCACCGCAAGCAGTGTCAGATGCAACGAACTGAATGAACTTCCGGAAGCCAGTTGTCTCGTTGGCGGTAATGGTCCTCAGGAAGACTATGACTATGCCAGACTGTGTCGAATATGTGCCCTGTAGATTACATTACATGATTACAGGTTTCTGGGCTGGCAAATCAACAACAGTATCAGTACAGGAATAGACGGAATAGACGACAATAAAGCATATGACTTAAGTAAGCTAGATAAACATAAAACTTTATGAATGGGCAACAACATCCAATAGACCATTTGTCTATAGTCTATAGTCTATGGCCCTATCGAAACATAATATACTGAATTTTACTGAATCAACCATACATACCGTACCGTTACATACCGAATCATATCATATCCTGTCCTGGTAGTCACAAGACAAGATCAACTCAGAACATAATTCATGCTTCATAATTCATAATAATAATAATTAAGAAGAATTCTTTCATAATTCGTATAAGTAATCTAAGTTTAAATGCTAATGGACCGAGAACCTGGACCTGAGAACTGAAACATGAAACACACAACTCGAACTCTTCCATCTAGGAGTTGCCCACGACTACAAACAGCATAAATCAGTGTAAGCTATGGCTATGGCGGCTATAACTATAACTGCAACCTCACGACCAAGATCACGGATCTAGCCCGAAACCCGAAACCGTGACCAATATATAGAATGCGAACCAGTGGCATGGCACCCTTGCAAAGCTTGTCCATGCAAGCACAGATCACAAGCCACCAAGCATTATCCATGGAACTCAAACTGCTCTGCATATTCGGATCGCTGAAGGCCCGCATGAAGTCAATCAACTCGGCAATGAGAAGCCTGGAAGGCCCATACTGATTCACCCCCTCGCCCGTCTGCTCAATCTGAATGATCGCCACAATCGAGGGGCACACTTTTGCCATCTTGGACAAGAACTCCCGTACATGGGTGAAGGTGCTGATCAATGGTTTGCTCTTGCTCCCAAGGCACTTCTGAAGCACTGTCATACTGCAGGGCACCCAAAGCTTAGATTTGTTCAAAGCCTCCGCAAGCGCCGGCAAGCCTTCCAGCACTGACATCTTGCCCTGGGACAAGCTCTCCAGATGGGGCTGAAGATCATCTGACACAAGCTTGCGAAACCTATTGGTGCAGGCCACCTTCAAGGCACCTGCCAACTCCTCGAATTTCGCATCTATAATTGACAGCTTGCTGGCATGCATCTCTTTGAAATTCTTGCTAGCAGCAAGCTCAATCATGGACCATTTCTGCAAAATGTCGATTACTTTCTGCATCTGCTCAACACTGATCTCCATAGCATCACCCTTCACAACCGTTTCGGGGCTGTAGGTTTTCAGTTCCGCACAGGCAGTCACACAGCCTTCCAAATCAGAACTGAAGCCGACATCCCGGTAATGACCTTCTAGCATCTCATTACATGTCTGCTGCACATACTGCCCCAGCGGAAACAGGGTGAGAGACTCCAAGAAGACTGCCCTGTTCTTCTTTTGCAACAAGGCCTGCCTCGCAGCCTTCAAGCTTTCTGCTGTCTCCGAAGTAAGCTTCATGTCGGGGTCGCAAGCCGCCTGAACCACCAAGATCAGATGGCCACACTCGTCCACAAAGCCGCTGAGGGACTGCTGGGTGTTCCAATTTTCCCACAACTCGGAAGCACGAAAACGCTGAAGCACATCATGAAGCTGTTCGGTTAGCTCCTGTGCCCTTTGATGCATCGCCTGGGCAAAAAGCCGATCTGAAGCAACAGCTCACAAAGCACTGAATTCAAGTCCAAAGAACCAACCATAGACCAGAGACCATAGCCGATTTAAACCCCGAATCCTAACCAAAGGCATCGAGATTCTTGCTTGTACTCCTCGTCCTTCTTCTCCTTCTGCTCTTTCCCGATGACCTCCACATCCTGAGACTGCTTCGCCACATAGATCTCCTGGCTTAAGAACTTGACAAGGCCCAGCTTGAGGGAGCAGTACTGGAATTCCATCCGACCGTCGGGGCTTTCGGGGAACAGGCTGAGGAGCTTGTCACCCTGCAAGGTCGCAAACAAGGCATCCCACTTCGCATGTGCTGCATACGACATCATGAGGCGAGCCAAGCACATCTTGTCGAGACTGACGGGCAATGCCATGCCAGCATCGCGACTGTCCTGGATGCTTGCCTCAAGTGTCTCAGCCGTTGCTTCCGCATCTTGCATTGCCGACACAAGCTGTGACATAGCAGTAACCTGAGTATTGGCTTTATTCAGGCTCCGCATCACATTCAAAGCTCGCTGCATCTCGGCACCAGCCGTGGACAATTCCCGGTAAACCTTCATGAGATCCTCCGTGCTTCTCGCAGCGAGCTTCTCGGCGATGTCATTCACCTCCACAGATTAGGCGGATAGTGGAGGTGGTGAAAGGGCGGCGGTGAGAATGAAGATGAGGGTGATGACGAAGCTAACGGTGCTATTGTCATGAGAAGAAATGAACAGGTGATCTAATACAGACTACAGGCAATTTAGAGTCTACCGTCTACAATAGCAGAATACAATGATTCGACTCTATGATGATATGATTCAGAAATAATCCCCAGCATAGTCGGGCCTGATTAGAACCAAGAAATAAGAAATTTGAAATAAGAATAGAATCATGGACCATCCCGCCTTCTTGTAGCTGACACTCGTGAAACTCTCATCGCTGGCCAGAAGCCCACACAGGGAATTGTACTGAGCCACAATCTTCTCTGCCGCATCCAGATCCTTGTTGCCAGAAGATGACTTACCCTTGGGAGCCTTGGGCTTTCCACTGAACAGCCACGAAGAAGATGCCGGGAGATCCTTCGCAGGATCCGCCGACTGGGAAGCATTGTCACCGGTAGCATCGGGCACACCGCCAAGGCCGGCAATCAACCCACCATTCCCCGCAGCCTTCTCAGCCTTGGTCTTGGAAGCCGTTGATGTAGACTTGATTCGTTTGGACTTCGGCTTTGCAGAGGAATCCTTCTCCGCCTTATCCTCGTCGGAATCATCTTTATCCCGACTGCCCTTGGAATTCCCGCCCACGACACCTGAGATGCCCCAAACACTCATCCAATCATCATTCTCATCCTCAAACTTGGCTCGCTTGGCCTTCAGCTGAAGATTGTGCTCACCATCCTCGGAATCGGCAGGGGTACTCGTGACAGCCACATTCAGATGCTTGGAGAGCCCACGGAAGGCCGTGTCAACATCCTCACATGACTCCCCGGATCCTTCAGCAGCACGATGCACCCTCACAGCAGAGGTTTGCGAGTCTTGGTACACCTCGATGGCTCCCAAGGTGGTCACGTCCCGCAAGATACCGACCACATTCTTGCCACAATGCGAGATGGTGGTTGGCTTCTGACCCTTCCACAAATGCTCTAGCTTGTGCTTCTTGAGGAGCTGTGGGCTCCAGAGATACCCAAGCAAGACCCTCGTCGTCAAGCCACTGCGGGTTTCCGCCTTGACTTCGGTCTTTTTGATGCTTGCAGATCTGGTTCGCTTTCCTTCTCGACGAGTCTTCTCCCACTCATGGAGACTGCTGTTGTAAGCCTCTTGACCCTCAGCCTCAATTTTCTGTTGAATCTGCTTGGAATCAAGGCCGGAGAACTCTTCGGCACAATTGCAGAAACCGTAGCATGGTTGACAGAACCCACTCTGTCCTCGTCTCTTAAGGAAATCAGTGGCACTGGGATTCGGAACTACAGGGTTGGGTGTGGTCCCGAATTCTCTCTTGCACCGATTGCAACGAGCCGCCATGACCCGGGATAGCAGTAGATTCTACGAACGTCCTTCTACGTGCACTTTGAGAGGTAGCAATCTATACCATACGACCGGAGCATAGATTCTGCTGCACCGCCCACAATGCCCAGAACACTTGCAATCCAAACATATTTGGAGCTTGCCTCAGGCTTCGATCTTAGACGATAGATTAGAGGGAGCCCCCCAGCCTGTAATCGTCTAGTCTAGTGGTATAGGACTATACTTTAGGGCCCTAATATAATTATATTTATAATCCTTATAGATTATAGTATAGTTTAGTCACTATTACAGGGTGGTGGCAGCTTCTACACGACAGAGATCATAGTTTCAATAGTGGCAAAAAACAACGTGTGCAGTGATGATGCTCGGGGGGTTTTCGTGAAATCACACAATACTGTCACTGAAACCCACTGTGGCGCACAGGCATTGTCAAGGCCACACAACATTATGGACCTGGCACAATATAGTACCTACACACAGCACTGCACTACACAACAAACTGGACAGCCTGTGCAGATGCATGGCCCATGCTGCATGATTCATGCGGCGATAACAGTGTTGGCTTCCTCGAAAACTGACTCTGAATATATGCCATGCCAATACCGTGCCATAGAAGTTTATCTCCAGACCCCATATAACTCATAATATAGCTCATACAGTTTTATAACTTATAAAACTAACCACAACAAACCCGCAAACCATAGACCATAATCGACTATAGACTATAGACTATAGACTATAGACTATAGCCATTCGCACATGACAAGCTTCGATGCGATAAAGGATACAGGATATAATAACTTCTATATTTGATACACGATATTAGACGATATTGTAATTCTTAGGCCTGATTCATATTGTTATTGCTATCGCACCGAATCTTGTCATGTGCACGACCTATTCCACCTAAGTAGTACTCGCACATGCACACGACCGGCCACCGTCCTGCTGTCACTTGCATGCATGCGGAATGAGATAGCTTGGCCTTGGGAATTCAACCGAAAGACAGAAAGCACGGACATGAGCATTTTTATCGTCCATGACTCAGAAAGTCTGCAGCATACTGTCTCCCATCTGCAATGTACAGCAGAGTTGCCGAGCTGCTTGCATCAGAGTATGGCTTCAGTACAAGTGATACCACGGCTTAGGGTTTAGGGTTTAGGGCTTAGGGTTTTATACCTAACTTACTAACTGATTATGACGTCGAAATCGCACAACAAGTCGAGTCGTTACCTCTGCCACATGAGCAGCAGTGACTGCACTCAAAGCAAGCGGACTCCCTATGCCGTGGCCGAGCACACCTCAGCAGCATCTCCTATCTGACTCAGAACGATGCCATATGCCGCCCCGCACAACCAGGATAATTTCCCAGGATAATGCTTTCTTTCTCTCTCGCTCTCTGTCTCTCTAGTCTCTCAGTCTATTGTCTCTAGTCTACAACCTATAGACTTGTAGATTAATGTAACAATGTAGTCTTATGTAACTTATGTAGTCTATAGAGTAGAGTTTATAGTCGTCTATAGTCCTCTGAGCCTTTCGCCTACAGCCTATCTCTCTCTCTCTCTCTGTCTCTCTCTCTCTCTCTCTCTCTCTCTCTCTCTCTTATCTATAGCCTGTCTGTAGCTACAGTATAGCAGTATAGCCTATAGCCTATAAGCAGTACTATAATAATAAAAAATAAAATAATAATACTTCATACTTCTACATGGAACATAGTATCTTTCAAACACAACTGGCTTCAACCGCCTAACGGCAATGCAGGCCACGACAGTACATTGGATGATATTGGGTGCTGCTTACTTTTCATCCTCAGAACTGCTAGTGTCGTTGTCAAAGATCACCTCTTCCTTAGGCTTGTCGCCACCAGGCACCGTTTCGGCCGCACCAATCTCCTGCTTGCAGCCGAGGGAGGGGTCGACGATGGCATCGTCATGCTTGCTGGTCTCCTTGAGCTTGAGATGCAAGGGCAAAATTGGATCATTTGGATCTTCATCCGCCACAGTCACCGACGATCTGCGAATCCTCTTTGCCGGCGCCGGTGGGGTTGGCAGGAATGCATCCGGACTCCCGACCTTCTTACGAGATTGTGGTGGGGTCACGAAACTTTTCCCCTGCGGACTAGAGCCGTTCACCCAGATCACCTTCTTGTTCGAAGCTGATGAGGGCTTGAGCTTATCTTCTGCTGGGGAAGCCATGGGTTCGACACGGGAAGTCCAAGATGTCGCTGCTACGATACTAAAACTCAAACAACTCGAGCAAACAAGATAAGATGGAGGCACTGAGATTTCAGCCTTCATGATTCATGATGAATGGCTCACGGACTCATGGTGCTTCAGATCTTCTGCAATCTGACCGAATGCGGTCAGGAAGACAATGACACTGTCACAATGTCACACCCAGAGCCTCCAAAACCCCCTTAATTAAGGAATGTACCTTAAATAATAATAGGATCCCTAATATGATTTTAAGATATATTCCTTAATTAAGGGGTTTTGGAGGCTCTGGGCACTGCCCCTAGTTTAGAAGGGGCCCCACCCTGTAATAGTGACTATAAGGATTATATAATATATAGGAACATATTAGGGCCCTATTTTAGTCCTATTATACCACTATTACAGGGTGGGGGCCGCTTCTAACCCCTAGTAGACTACTTGATTTGGCAGCAAGGAAGCACAGTAACCAAAAGCCTTGGCTGCATGGCACTACTGACCAAGTCTTCAGTCCTATTGTCTGTCTTCCGACCAGTCTACACATGAAGCAGCTCTCTCCAGCCTTGGTTTATTAGCACTACAAAATCACACCTCACATCAGGAATTATGCCGACACTGCTCCACTCGACTCTTTACAAAAGCTTGTAACAACACCACTCTTTCCGTACAGTAATAGTAATAGGTAATAGGTTGCACGGACAGCAGGAGTCAAGGCCTCAAGGGGCTCAGGGATACGGCGACACGGTTTTGAATAAGATAGGGACCATATAGCTGCATACGGCATATGCGGCATATCATAATCATATGATATGATTCATATGATATGATACTGTATTCTGTTGTCCAGCTCACGTACTGTAGCCATGCTCGATATGATAAATTATATTTTAAAATAAACTTATTGTCTAATAAGTTATGTAAATTAATGTAATACTTTTTTATAATTTATACGTTATAATTATAAATTATGAATTTTAACTTATAACTTTTTTTATACATTTATAATTTATAATTTGTTTATAACCTATAACAACTTATATATAGCTGATCCCGATGAAACGAATGTCAACACTGTCAAAACTTTTACGACTTCCCGGTTCACCAGGTAGGAATTTAAGTAACTGCCGTATCCTCCCCAAATTACTACTCAAGCCTCGGCTTTCAGATAACTGACATGACTCAGATATGACTCATATAATATTTGCACCGCCCATCATACGGTCTCGTCGGCCACCACCTAAGTTACCTAAGTATTCAGCCAGCCCCGAGTGAACAAAATGTGTCGCCCGCTTCGCCCGCCCACAACAACTACTTTACCCGCCCCAAAAGCTACTTTACTAAATGTGTCGCCAGCTTCGCCCACCCAAATAAGTGTTCAATCGGCCCCAAAATAAGTGTTCAATCGGCCCCAAAATAAGTGTTCAATCGGCCCCAAATAAGTGTTCAATCGGCCCCAAAATAAGTGTTCAATCGGCCCCAAATAAGTGTTCAATCGGCCCCAAATAAGGCCCAAATAAGTTCAATCGGCCCCAAATAAGTGGCCCCAATAAGTGTTCAATCGGCCCCAAATAAGTGTTCAATCGTAAGTGTTCAATCGGCCCCAAATAAGTGTTCAATCGGCCCCAAAATAAGTGTTCAATCGGCCCCAAATAAGTGTTCAATCGGCCCCAAATGGCCCCAAATAATGTTCAATCGGCCCCAAAATAGGTGTTCAATCGGCCCCAAATAAGTGTTCAATCGGCCCCAAAATAAGTGTTCAATCGGCCCCAAATAAGTGTTCAATCGGCCCCAAATAAGTGTTCAATCGGCCCCAAAATAAGTGTTCAATCGGCCCCAAATAAGTGTTCAATCGGCCCCAAATAAGTGTTCAATCGGCCCCAAAATAAGTGTTCAATCGGCCCCAAATAAGTGTTCAATCGGCCCCAAATAAGTGTTCAATCGGCCCCAAATAAGTGTTCAATCGGCCCCAAAATAAGTGTTCAATCGGCCCCAAAATAAGTGTTCAATCGGCCCCAAATAAGTGTTCAATCGGCCCCAAAATAAGTGTTCAATCGGCCCCAAATAAGTGTTCAATCGGCCCCAAAATAAGTGTTCAATCGGCCCCAAATAAGTGTTCAATCGGCCCCAAAATAAGTGTTCAATCGGCCCCAAATAAGTGTCAATCGGCCCCATTGAACACGTAGTTTGGGGCCGATGAAACCTTATTTTGGGGCCGATTGAACACTTATTTGGGGCCGATTGAACACTTTTGGGGCCGAGAACACTTTTTGGGGCCGATTGAACACTTATTTGGCCGATTGACACTTATTTGGGCCGATTGACACTTATTTGGGCGATTGAACCCTTATTTTGGGGCCGATTGAACACTTATTTGGGGCCGATTGAACACTTATTTGGGCCGATTGAACACTTATTTGGGGCCGATTGAACACTTATTTGGGCCGATTGAACACTTATTTTGGGCCGATTGAACACTTCTTTTTGGGAGGATTAGACACTTATTTCGGAGGGATTGAACACTTATTTTGGGGCCGATTGAACACTTATTTGGGGCCGATTGAACACTTATTTGGGGCCGATTGAACACTTATTTTGGGGCCAATTGAACACTTATTTGGGGCCGATTGAACACATATTTTGGGGCCAATTGAACACTTATTTGGGGGCCACTCGACACTTATTTTGGGGCCGATTGAACACTTATTTGGGGCCGATTGAACACTTATTTTGGGGCCGATTGAACACTTATTTGGGGCCGATTGAACACTTATTTTGGGCCCGATTGAACACTTATTTGGGGCCGATTGAACACTTATTTGGGGCCGATTGAACACTTATTTTGGGGCCAATTGAACACTTATTTGGGGCCGATTGAACACATATTTTGGGGCCAATTGAACACTTATTTGGGGGCCACTCGACACTTATTTTGGGGCCGATTGAACACTTATTTGGGGCCGATTGAACACTTATTTTGGGGCCGATTGAACACTTATTTGGGGCCGATTGAACACTTATTTGGGGCCGATTGAACACTTATTTTGGGGCCGATTGAACACTTATTTGGGGGCGATTGAACACTTATTTGGGGCCGATTGAACACTTATTTGGGGGGCACTCGACACTTATTTGGGGGCGACTCGACACTTATTTTGGGGGCCACTCGACACTTATTTGGGGGCCACTCGACACTTATTTGGGGCGGGCGAAGCTGGCGACACATTTAGTAAAGTAGCTGTTGGGGCGGGTAAAGTAGTTGTTGGGGGCTTGTAAAAGTTTTGACAGTGTTGGCATTCGTTTCATGGGGATCAGTCTTCTTCACTACCCATTGGCCATTGGTCCATTACATGTGCAGCTATAACAAGAAAGATTAAATGACTTGAAACCAGTCATATCATCAATATAAGTCAATATATAATTTATAGTTTATAACTTATAACTTATAACTTATACCTGTATAATACTAAATACCATTATCATGCATTATCCTATCATATCATAATCATATCATAGAATCATATCATATCAATCATATCATATATCATATCATATCTCACAGCCTACTGATATTTGATATCTCAGGTATCTCAGATATCTGTACTATATATTGGAATATTGTATACGACTATCATACGACTAATTTCAAATTTAATGATATGATATTAATATACTAATACTGACACGGACACTAATACTAATACTTATAGTTCTTACTTTTCTAGCTATATCATTATTGAAAATAATCAAATATAAATTATAAAACTATGTTATTTTATTTCAGCATTTGTTCTATACTTCATAGCCTACATACAAGACTTATAAACTGCAACTTTGCAACCACTGACAATTAAGTTATTATAATTTATAAGTTACAAGTTATAGTTATAGCCTACAGCCATAGTCACCGTCATAATTATAGCCATGGCATTGACCCATTCTTACCTAAATATGAATTATTGAATTTGGCAATCATTGGTTCCCCTGGAAAAGCCGTATCGCCGTATCCCTGGTCCTCACATAATTCTGAGATCTCCCAACGGAAGCAGTCGTCAAGACACTGGCTATCGTCGGCTATCTCGAAACCAGCCGCATAACATGCACTCCACTACCGAAGACTTCCCACTAAGGCCACTAAGGTAGTTCGATTCATAACTATAATTATATTTTAATTGCAATTAGTTTAATTAACATTATAACTTAGAAGCTGCCCCCACCCTGTAATAGTGACCATAAGTTGACCATAAGGACTATATCTATATTAATATAATATAATAATATAATAATATTATATTAGGGCCCTAGTATATTATTCCTATTATACCACTATTACAGCATTACAGGGTCGGGGCAGCTTCTAAATTATAACTATTATAATTATAAGTATAACTTACTATAACATTGAACATAGAATGCAGCAGGCTCAGTCTCCAAGCACACGAACTAGCCACCAATGGTAGCCTACAATGGTAGCCTATCAGCATCGTTCCCGAATTCTTTCCCTGGCACTTGACGTCTTGCAGAATCCCGCCCGTTTGGGTGTTCGAGGCATATGCCTCAGGAGCTAGAAATGGACTGCCGGCCCATCGCACACCATCATCTCCACTAGTCTCCATTGGTCCATTATCAGACAGGCTCGGTTAGGGCTCAGGAGCAGGGGTCTCATAGTTTGCAAAACAAAGGAGCCCCGAATCCTAAACTCCAAACGGAAGGCGCCCTAAATCCCAAAGCCCTGGAGCCAAGCTTAAGGATCCACGAGAACGGACCAAATCCTACCTAAGATAAACTGAATACCCAAACCCCTCCTCGACAGGGACCTGGAACGGCCGAAGTTATATTATATGATTTATATAATTATTTTATATACAGTAGAAGCCAGAAAGTTGGAACATGGCTTTAGGAGGATTAGTGCTAGGATCCCTTATACATTACCTTAGGGGAACGAGGATTATGATGTTCCAACTTTCTGGCTTCTACTATATAATATA